CTGGGTCTCTTCCTTGAAAAGACAAAATGTAGTAAAGACTTAAAAATTACTCTTTCCTTCCCCTACTTGAAAATGAATCAAGAAGCCCCAAAATGAACCCTGGCTGGCTAGATAAATTATATTTGGGTTTGAGAAGTTAATAAAGCCAAGAACTTGGAGATTTAAATGACACCATATTTTCTTAACTATTTCATAATCTACATGCCAATGGCTGTTTAGATATTTGTGGTTAGGAATCCTGGCATGCCAAAAAAGTACTGGATGCTTATTACAGATGTTGCCCAGCCACATTTGTTATCATCTGTTAAGATGAGAGTTTCACCCACTGACAAGCAAGTTAGAACGCATCAGAGGGAGAAATATGCGTGGAAACATTACGTAATACACCAAGTATCAGCTCTTCATTCTTTTATTCAACAAGTAGCAACACTTTAAGCATCACATGGTTTTTGCCCTTGGTCATAACTGTTGACATTTTTTTCACTAAAAAAATAGGTGGAGAAAAAATATCAGGTACTTATGACTGGCAGCAATGTACATTGTATTGAAACAGCAGTCTAAAAACTTTTAGAGGCAACTTCAAATATTAAAAGGTATATAAAACGGTCAACTGTGTGGACACTATGAGGAAAAGGCCCACAGTCAAGATCAGACACAAAGCTGGAAAAAATGAATTAAAACTTAAAAGGGAGGTGGAATGAGTTGCCTAACCGTTGTCAATTTGCCTGTGAAGGGCATTACAATGTAAGTTGTAGAAAGGAAGGAGCTGAGGTTGAGAAGATGATCTATGATTTAAAGGAATATTTTCTTGTTTGGTAAGGTAGGATATTTAGCTTAGCAACTACAACTCAAAAGTTAGCCTAGAAAGGCTGCTATGCATTACAAATATTACACAATTTACTGGTTAATCACTCAGTCAATTTAGATTGGCCACAAGTGCAAAGCAACTATCACACAATTAAGTGGTTAATTGGCCAATAAATTTAGACCAGTCACATATGTAAAGTAACTATCATGTGGTAAAAATATCTATCCATCTATTTAAAAAAACAATCAGCTATGAAGTTAGTGCTTGAAAATATGTAACAACTCTAGAGGTGCTTTCTATCTAGCTTGCATATAGCAGGGCCATATAGATACATATCAGTGGACATGATATCCATTTGATAAACACATCTTTTACTTCTGGAAAATGTACATGCATTTTTCTAGGACTTGTTCTTCAAACATAAATCCCTGAAAAACTTCAAATGTTTGTTAAAATAATAAAACAACTGGCCAGAGAAACTCATCTTCAGAGTGTCAGGGTAGGCAAAAGTGTGGTTGGACCAGTCATAGTTTTTACATAGGTAAAACCATCACCAAAGTTGTTACCCCATAGCAATTTGAAATGTTTGTGTAATTCAGGGATGTCCACTTGATACACATGGGCACCTGGCCCATAAAGGCCTAACATGAGGCCCACAGGCTGCTGTACTTGGCTGCTGCTCCCCTTGTTGCTTTTGATACAGTAGTGGCTGGGATCTCCAAGCTTCCCTCTTTCCCCAGTGTAGCAGACAAATTGAGTTGTGTTAATGCTCTTAGCAAGAGTCCAGGCCTTCTCGGAACTAAGGATTAAAACTGTACAGAGCACCTTAAAAGGCACTGGAAGAAGTAGGTGCTGGAACTGGAGTGCTAGGTGAGCAATGTATAACACTTTCCCTATAAGGAGACCAAAAATAGAATAGGATTTGTGCACCATGTAAGGAATGTGTGGCTCAGTGCCGGGGGATTGGGTAATTGTTAGGAAAAAGGCATAAAAACTAGTTAACACAAAGGGGGGGTGGGGGTGTGTGTGTGTGTGTGTGTGTGTGTGTGTGTACACGCACATGGTGGATCTGAGAATACAGACACAGCTGCTGCATTCTCTGCGGTACTACAGAGGATCCAAAACATCACACACCCGGCAGAAGACCCGAGGCATGGTATCCCCGATGGGCGCTGCTGAGATGACTGCAAGCCACCTGTCAGGTTGTATTTTGGGGAGGAAACCTGTAATATTGTCTAGAGGTTACTAATGAAGTTCACTAGATACCAAATAGGCTGAGCTGCCATGTCAATCCTTTAGGGCTCTGGTAAAGAAATCCTATTGGTAACAGCTCCTGCTTCCTGCTCCCACTCCTGGGGGCAGAGCAACACTGTGGGAGGGGGCTGTGGTGCCTGTCCTGTATACACAATGGGGATGGGGGATGGGTTATTCATGCTGGGCAAGTGGCAGAAGGAGCTCAGAGGGTGGAGCTGCCCATGCAGCACAGCAGGCTGGGAACAGGATGAAGCCTGGGATTGGGTGAGGTTGTTCACAGAGCAGAGGGAGTCAGGCTGCTTGTGCAATGGAGGCAGGGGGCTGCCCGCACAGCAAGCAGCCTTCATGATGTGCAGCTCCTGGCTGCCAAGTTGGACAGCCCTAGTGTAACAAAAGGCCTCTAAGCAGTATGACTATCCCTTACTTACGTTTCTTCCATGCTATGTACATTAAAATCTCTTGCTCTCTCCCTCTTCTTTCCCCCTACTGTGCTTGTGTTCAGCTATGTAAATTCACCATTGCAGACAGTGGATTATTTTTTTCTTATAGACTAGGCTCCCAAATTAGTTACACTGCCTCTGTACTCAACAGTGGAAAAAACTGATTTTGAACAGGGGTGCTCAACCCTTAGTCCATGGGCGAGATCCACCCATGTCTAACAAGAGCCCTTAGAGCCGCTCTGCACAGGGCCCAATCCACGCTTGTGGTGATAGACAGAGGCAGTGCAGGACCAGTGGTCTCAATCCCAGTTGCAGAGCTGGGTGGAGGCAGAGTGGTGTCCCAGGCCCTCAGTCATGGTTTGTGGACCCAGGAGTAGGCAGCATGAGGCCCCAAAGGCTGATCCTGGCATGCAGAGCTGGAAGAAGATAGTGTGGAGACCCTGGTCTCTAATCCTGATGTGAGGAGGCAGTGCAGGGCTTCAGGGTCCTAAACTCAAGAGTGTGGAGCCAGACAGAAGTGGCATGGGATCCCAAGGATCCTGATCCTGGTGTATGGAGGCAGCACAGGGCCCTGGAGCCCCAATCCTGCATGCAGAGGCAGCATGGGTCCAATCTGGCCCATGGACTGCCCCCCATGCCACTCATCTGGTGCACAGGGCCAAAAAGCTTAGCACCGCTGATTTAAGAAAAATTTTAAAAGCTCATTTAGCCCAATCTTACAAACGTCTATTCAGCTATGGGCACTGGGACAATAATATGCTTGGAAAAGTTAAACTGTGTTGGTTTTCTGATCAGTGCAGGTGTAGGTTTGCAGATTGTCTCTGGACCAGTAAATTTTGCAAGGCTGATTTAGATACTGGAAGCTTAACAAGGCTTAAAATTGAATCATGAACATCTGTTTGCATCCAAAGCTGCTGTCACAGTGGATCCATTGCATTTAAAGATGCAGTGCAAACAAGTGACCATCATTAAGCCATTCTTCAGTTTCTCTAGCCTTTTAGTCTGGTGGTATTTTGCTTTTTTCTTCAAACATGTAATTTTATGAAGTTTTATTTTACTAGGTAAATGAAGTTAGCAAGAAATTCCTTTTTTTCCATTAAAAAAAAATCCAAGAGTCTCTAAAGAGGTTTCTTTCAGTAGCAATCATAAATAAAGTAGGCATGATCAACTCAGATGCCAAACTCAGTTGACAGATCAAATGCAAGTTTAAAGTAGTTTCAGAGATGCAAGTGTCAGATGCCTGGAGCTGAGCCCTCATTGTCTGAGAATATTAGACTCTATTCAGTGATCCATCCTGTAGTTTGTGACAAAACACAGTTGGCAGACTTTCAGTGGACTATCTTTTTTCTTTCCTCCCTCCAATAAAAGAATATACTTCTATAAATCTCTAGGTTTACCTTTTTTGCTAAAATCCTTAAATAGCACTTTTTTTTCCTAAGTGGTAGGCTTGATGCTTTCCCTCTTTCTTGAGGAGCCACATCAGACTACACCACATTGCATGCTATTTGATTAGCTATATATAATATTTGTATTTCATTGTCAGCACTTCGTAAAACTGCAAAGAAATTCCACTGTTTAGATCAATAACTTACTGCCTGCATGTACTCCAAAAACTTCACCTGTCTCTTTATTTATTTTACAAATGTTGTGTTTTCAGGTGCAGCTATTTATTTATTGAGAAAGCGAACCAGCAAACTAGCTCCCTGATTCATCTATGGTGCTGACAGAACCAGAGTTAGATTTTCACACTATCCTGCTAATCATGACCTCAACCTTAATTTGAAGTACTATCCTATATATAAGGAGTGAGAGGTAATTTATCTCTCTCTTCCTGTGGAACAGATTGTTTTGGCAATCATCCCAGCTCATTTAGGAGTCCTTTTCCATCAGACAAAACTGTTTGCTGTGGGCTCTGTACTACTGAAATCCAACTCATTCTGCCCTTCTTCAGCATAAAACTAAAATGGGGCAGAGAAGTGGGGGAGGAAGGGCCAGGGGATTGTTGGATAGTTAGATCCTACAAGATGCTGAATCCTTCCTGTGGTGTGCCAAGAAATCTCTAGTTCCATTGATTCTGGTCAAAATAATATCTGAAATAAGGGGAGGGAGCCCCCCCCCGAAAGGCAATTAAGTGATATAATGGTCTAATAAGTGCCTCTTCACACAGTTATCTTTGCTGAACCAGAATCCTGTTGGTCTGCACACCATGGCTGCTGGGTAGAGACTGCCTTGAGATTGCTCAGATGCCAAGTGCAATGAAAACACTGAGCAAAGCTGGTCAGAAAAGTTTTATTCTGTAAAGGTACAGAAAAAAGAAAAGAAAAGGGGTTTTGCAACATCTTTTTTTCAAGAAAATGTGCTTAAGGCAGAAAAGGTACCTAAATGCTGATAACTGGCCAAATCATTAAAAAATAGCACAACCTCTTTCACTACAGCCCAAATAAAAAAAAAAGTAGAAAATATCTGATCCAATAACAGTACTAACAACATGCTCAAATTTTAGGCTTATATGCTGCTTGGTCTAATTGTCAAGTATAAATAACACAAAAGTCCATTTCAAAGATGCTGCCTTAACTACCACAAGGTACAACTTTTAAGTCCTTCTTCAGAAAACAGCAGGAAAGCAGGCCAATGATATGCCTGTTTTTCATTCTGAACAAAAGTAGATGAATCTGGCGGAACAATACTGACCAACGGCTGCTTGAGAACAAAACAGGTGAAAGACTTGTTTTGGCAGCATATTGGGATATTTATTTAGGAGGCTACTTTAAGTTAATAGCCACCGCCAGTGACTGTTAAAAGGAGGGAGTAAGGAAATGTGGAATAAAAAAAGTGAGACTGAAGATTTTAAAAGTTGGACTAATCCCAGCATTTCCAATTTAATCAATAAATGCTTGAACTGTAATCTTTCGAACACTGGGGACAATACTGAACTTTTAAAATGAAATGTTTGGTAACTGGTAAAAAAAAAAAAGAAAATCTTCATAAAACACGAATAAGATCCAAAGTTATCCTTGATCGAGGGATATCAACATTGAGCACTTTAACTTCTACTCTTTCTCCAGGACCTAAACCAAGACTTCTCCTCTTCTTTGCTTTAGAAAGTTTTGCTTCTGTTATGTTCCTAATTGGAATCAACCCTGATTTACCCACACCGATATCAACGAAAGCTCCAAAGAGAGTAGCGTTCTCTACTTTTCCTGTGAGAACAGCACCAACACTTAAGTCTTCAAGGCAGACTATGCTTCTTTTGAAATCAGGCTTATCAAAATCTAAAGTAGAGAGAGAGAAAAATCAAGTTTTTGAAACAGGACATCAGCAAGACAATAATACAGTTAAACTTTTGATTTCCAGTAAGAAACTTCCTATTGTAAGAAACTACCAGGTTTCAAATACAGTTTCATTAAGCTTTTAAATAAGGGCCATCTCTATAATGCAACTGATTTTTTTTCCTATTGTGTTTATGCTGTGTGTGGTCATTTAGAAAAAACTTATGCTAAATGGGTTACAAAGTACAGAAAGCCTTTAGCAAAAAATTACCCCACAAAGGGCAACATAATTTGTTTGCTTTTAACAAATGGTTGTACAACAATGTACTGGAAATATGAAATGTACTGGAAATCACTCGTCATTTGGTCAGAAGACAGGCTATCTTTTTCAGGTGCTCCTTGCCAGAACTTCAGGAATCATAATATAATTGTACAAAAGTATATATAACTAAACAAAACAAGGTAGATATTCAGTCTGAAGACACCTTTAAGCAACAGAAAAGTTATTCAAAGAGCTGACTCAAACTTTCAGATATCTCCAGAGACTCACCACTCATTTACATGTCTGACACGTGAGTAATTCTGACATCATAGTTTCATAGTAGCGAGGGTCAGAAGGGACCTGAACAGATCATCTAGCCTGACCCCCTGCCACGGGCAGGAATGAATGCTGGGTTCACAAGACCCCAG